CTCTCTCTCTCTCTCTCTCTCTCTCTCTCTCGATTACAACAGTGGGACACGGCGGGACAGGAGCGCTTCCGCACCATCACATCGTCCTACTACCGCGGCGCACACGGCATCATCGTCGTCTACGACGTGACGGACAACGACACCTTCAGCAACGTCAAGCAGTGGCTCCAGGAGATCGACCGTTACGCCTGCGAGGGCGTCAACAAGCTGCTCGTCGGCAACAAGTCGGATCTGACCAACAAAAAGGTCGTCGAGTACGCCACCGCCAAGGAGTTTGCCGACCAGCTCCAGATCCCCTTCCTCGAGACCTCGGCCAAGTCGGCCACCAACGTCGAGCAGGCCTTCTTGACCATGGCAAAGCAGATCAAGGACCGCATGGGCAACTCCACCGTCAACAACCAGACCGGCGCAAAGTCCACGCTCAAGGTCGGCCAGGGCCAGAACGTCTCGCAGCAGTCCAACGGCGGATGCTGCTAGTTGCTGCTAGTTCCCCGCACCACCATACATTCCGTCGCCTTCTCGCGCAGCCGCTGGCCGTGGCGCGAGCAGCGTCCAGCCCTAGTCTGCACCCGCTTTCTTGATGACCCGCGCAATGTGAAATGCCTGTACAGATCGAGTCGTGTCTAGTTGGCAGAGTGTGTCGGGCGGTGGAGCAATTTCGCACCAACGCGCTCTCGAGCCTGGCTGAGCTGAGACCAACGCTTTGGCGCTCGTAGAAAAAACGCGCGCGCGCGCGCATGCAGTTGAAATGCACACTCGGGCCGCTTCCGCTCTCCACATAACTCGGCGCTGCTACCATCTGTCACTTTGCTCTTCACCTGCTCCCACCTCATCCTCCGCACACACACACACACTCCCAGGTTGACTTTCAGGATGCCGTCGACACAGGAGACGCGGTCTCGGGCGGGTCCGTCATCTGGCTCGCCCACACGCCCTCACAAACGCGCCGTGGAGGAGGACTTTACCTACAACGCACGACAGGATGTCAACGACCGGCGGGCGGTGCGGTCCGAGTACCGTGCACTCATCGCCGAGGCGGACGAGTCGAAGCGCGACCAGACGCTCAAACCACGTGCGCTGCTCGAGCTCATCCACAAGGCGGACGAGCTGCACACGCGCGTCGTCGCGCCGAGCGAGAGCGTGCTCGACACCAAGACGCTCGCGTCCATGTCCGAGATGGGCGCACGCATGGCCAAGAAGATGAAGCTCAACGCCGACGCCTTTGATACGCACGAGCTCATGTCGCGTCTGGCGCGCTTCCTCGGCGGTCAAGCCGCACCCCTCCGCCCTGCCAACGATGATTCGGATGACGAGGAGGATCTCGAACAGTGGAAGTGGGATAAACTCGGCCGTACGGCAAGTGCCGTATCGAGACGTGCAGTGACCCTCGACTTTATGCTCGGTCCACTCGAGACGCAGCCCAAACAAAGAAGGACGGGCGTGGTGAGGCGAAGCGATGATGCACCCGCCCAGAGAACCGCCCCGCGTGCATTGGGGCAGCACGACCTGCAGCAGACCGACGGCAAGGAAAGCACCTCGCAGATCTTCAAGGTCGCCCAGCTGCTCAAGCAGCAAGGGGACGCCGGTGTGTGTCTCTTTCGGTTCGCCGTGGATCCGCACAGCTTTGTCAACACCGTCGAAAACTTCTTCCACGTAAGCTTCCTCATCAAGGAGAACAAGGCGAGCCTGCACACCGACGAGGCCGGCAACGCCATCCTAGGTAAGTCCCTCCCACGTACACACACACACTCACCTCTGAGCAAAACTCAGACTGACCATCTTTCATTCTTGCATTTGCGGTGGGTGTGGGAATAGCTACTGCGCAGCCTCCATCGGGCGAGGACGAGGGGGAGGAGGAAGAGATGCGATCCAAGCAGTTTATCATGGAGATCGACTGGGCGACGTACCTGGATGCGATCCAGCTCTACGGCTTGACCACCAGCATCATTCCCACGCGTCCGAACCGGGTCGATCCGCTCAGTGGCTTAGCCGCTCTGAGTAATGGAAGCTAAGATCGTGGAGCGCGTGTTTGTCCCACCACCTCACGACATCCCCTACCACATCCACGGCGTCCTGGGGTGCAGCCACTGTGAGGTGTGCACGACGTTTGGCGTTCCAATTCGGCAGGGCGGTTGCGGTGAGTGTTGTGCAAAGGCGGTGTAGGTTGGGAGCGGTGTCGGCGAGGTTGGAGGTGATGGTGTAGAGGGAGAGCGTGTTGGAGAGAAGTACTGGATAGGGAGGCGTCCAGGTGGAGAGGACCGATTCGTACAGGTCGCGGTCGCAGTGCGGCATGTAGAGTAAGCTTTGTGGATGCGCGTACCACTGCGAAACGTGGCTGGAGAGTGTGCGCACATTGTAGTGCGCGAGAAGTGCGGTGTCGGAGGATGAAAAGATCGGATCGTACGCCAGGCACTCTAGTGCAGCGGTGGCTTGTTGTGCAACTCGTCTTGCGGCCGATTCGGCCGATGGGGACCTTGTTGCATCCTTGGTATCGGCTGCGTCGCGTTGGTGCGTGAAGAACGTGCGCAGAACCACGAGAAGCGCCAGCTGGATCTGCGCACTCCGGCTACTTGTAGGCGACCCAAGCCCCAAACACACAATCTTGCGCGGTACTTGCCTTGCTCCCGACCAAACGGTGTGCAGGGTTTGTGCGAGTCGGTGTGCAAGCGATTCTCCCTCGGGCGTGTGCAATTGGGAGCCGAGGTAGGTGGTCATACAGTCGACCACCGCCCGTGCGCGCTCCACCGCCCTCTCATCACCACTACCCGGCGAGGGACGAGGCTTCGAGGCGTATGTAAACCCCGACGACGGTTTGGAGGAGCTCGACGCTTCAGCTTGGCTAGCTTGGCTAGCTTGGCTAGCTTGGCTGGCTTGGCTTGGCTTGCTTCGTGCGGGGCGGGTGGGTCGTCGACGTCGACGCACTACCTCGAACGCCACTTCGTCCGCATCACTGTTCGCATCCATCGCCACTCGATGCTGGTCGGGACGAAAGCAGCTCGCACCAAGAAAAAGCGAGCTCAAAAAATCAAAGGGTCCACCCGACTCGACCCCCACCCAACCACGCACACACGCGCACACGCCTTTCTATCCCTCGTAGCGCATTGACCCTCGTAAGCACGGCCTCGAGCCAGCTCACCCCATCAAACCTCGCATGGATTGTTTGGTCTCTGATCGCTCGAGCTGGGAGGAGGGTATATTTTAAAAGTACTCGAGCTCGATGAACAGAAACGCCGTTTTGGCAGGATGCACCATTCGCAAGCCCGCCTTTTCGAGCACCTGCGCATTGGTCCTCGCCACCAGCTCGTCCACCTTTGCCATTGTCTGCGCGCGCCCCGCAACCCAATTGCCATTCTCATCAGCTTTTGCCAGCCATTTGCATATAGTCGAGCGCTTGAGGACTCACCTTTTTGTAGTGCGAGGTGTGGACGAGCGTCGAGAGGTAGAGCGTGGCGATGGCGAGGGTGTTGTCGATCCAGACGCGGCGTGGATTGTGTGCCTCGATGAGCAGCGCGTTGAGGTCGTTGACCAGTTCCGAAAACGTCGTTGGCGATATCTACTCTTGGTCAGTAACGGATTTGCACCAAGCAGAAGAGGAGGAAGCAAGGACAGGGGGCTCACTCTGCCTTCGATTTCGAGTGGGAACGAAGGGTGGAATTGCGGCAGTTCCCCGGAAGAGTAGTCGCGCTCGATCCTACAACGCAGTGTCAGCCATCATGCTGGGTCCACGAACAGAAAGTGGGGACAAGGGCGTGCTTACCTGACGATCTCCTTGGGCACGTGAAGGGTGGGGTTGCCCGTGACGCCTTGGCCGAACGCAGCACTGGACGGCGGCGGACCAAAGTAGTACGAGCTTACGGCCGGCGGGTAGTGCGAGCCCGCCGTAGGAGCTGCAGCTGCGGACGCCATGCTGAAACACTCGCGAGCCAGGGGATGATGGAGAGGAATGAACAAAGGCGGCACGGTGGGAAAGCCGGCTTGTTGCACTGCGAAATACCCGCCCAACACGCGCCCTCACACGCGAGCACCGGCCCGACACTTTGGCCTCCCGCACCACCACACCTACTGCCAACCTGCCCCCAACCTCACTCGTCATCATCACCAAGCTCACTTTGACGGAAACCGTGCACCACACACCCGCAACAGCAGCGCGATGGAAATAGAATTACAAAGTGGCATCGAGTTTTTCGTGCGCACCTACATGCAGATGCGGTACGAGCAGTAGCGGCCACTCGTTTCCGAGGGCCGTGTGATCTTGACCACCTGGCCCCTCTGGAGGCCAAAGTACTTTGCGACCGGATCCGCCTGCTGAATCCTTGGCAGCTGGGTCTCCTTCAACCTGTACCTCTGCAGCAGCTCCTTCTTCTCGTCCGGATACAGTGGTTCGTGTCGAGGCACCAGATGGTGGTGGGTGATGTTGACCAGCAGATACGCCTCTTCAAAGTCCTCGAGGTGGAAGGTGCCGCGCATGGCGTCGATCACCTTGCGAGCCGCACTCGTCATCTTGTCCGGCCAGATGATGATGCCGCGCTGGATATCGCGCTCCTCCATGATGCTGATGAACTGGCGCATCGTCTTGACGCCCACATTGCGCTCCATCGAGTAGAATACAAACAGCCGCTGGTTCTCGTGCGCACTGTGCTCCGTGAAAAAGTTGAGCTTCGTTCGGTCAACCGAGCCGCCCGTAGGCGCATACTCGGCCTTGAACGACTCGAGGTCAATGTTGATCTCGTCGTCCGCCACTTGGTACCCACGGTCGCGCACCAGCTCGTGGATCGTCTTGTTCACGCGCCACAGTCGCACCGTCTCCCGGTCGTCCTCCATGATGCCCAGCTATCGATGTGTGGATCCGGCGGGTGCTGAAAGTCCTGCGCAATGTGCGCTGCGTGCGTCCTAGCCGTGGCCGTGGTGGCGCCGCGAAGCCTCAAGGACCCGAGGAAGCGAGGTGAACCCGGATGGCACCTGGCAAGTACCGCAAGCGCCGAGTGTAGAGTCGACCCGAGGGAAGCTGCGGAGAAGCGTGCTGTAGCAGGTGTTGGTGTGGGTGCTGAGTCCACGGCGAAGCCAGAGATGAGCTCAAGGGAGGGTAGGGATGGTGGAGGGAGAGCTGATGGAATGCGTTCCAGCAGCGCAGCTCAAGCGTTTGGGAAATTTTTGGAACTTTCTGCGCGACTCGGAGCCGAGGCGCTCCCAGCATTCACATCTTCCCTTCAATCTAACACCGCCCTGTTCGGCGCCCATCGTCTGCATCCTGGCACCACTGCCTCGTATGAGGGTCCTTGCATTGCAATGAAACGCTGCCAATGCAACAGGCTGATGCCTCCACCTCGCGCGTCCAACTCCACCCTGGACGCCTTGGACCAGCAAGCAACGCTTTGACTCAAACAGATCCACAAAGCCCTAGCACAGTCCGTTCAACAAGTCAGGTTTCGACCTCCGCACCGATTCCTGCAAGTACACCTTCTCCTCTGCACCCGCAGCTCGGAACCTGAAAAATATTATCCTATAGCCATGGGCTTGGGTTTGTATGAAGGTGCGACGAATCAAAGTACAAATGTATCGAGCAAGGGGACAGCGGACCATGCTGGGGCGGCGTCACGACAGCCCTCGACGCCGCCGAGAGGATGTGAATATGAAAGGAAGATATGGAATGCGCCATCTGTGTATCGACGCGCCCATGTGGGGGCATTGAAGAGTCCGGAGGAGAAACGACGGCGACACAAAAGACCCAAATGGCGGCTGGCAACTTCACGCGCGGTCAAACGCAAGCTGCGCCAGCACCCGGCTCACCTCGTCCATGGTCGAAGCATCCGGGTTGGGCGCATTGCGGCCGGGCGGCAGACGCGAGATGCTCGCCGACGCCGCGTGCAGGTGGTGCGGCTGCGCAGCGTGGTTGTTGAGTCCAAAGCCCGCCTGCGCATCGTGCGGCGATGGCTGCTGCTGAGCCGACTGGTACAGATGGTGGGCCGGTCCAGCCGCAAACCCAGACGGTGCACCGACGTGACCAGGGAAGTGCGTGGGGGCGCCAGTTCCGATCGGACCCAGTCCATACGGAGTGGACGGTCCCACGCTCATGCTGCCGCTGGCGTGCTGCGATGCCTGCTGCGCCGCCATCGCACCAATGTCGAGGCTCTGCGCTCGGTGCGCAAACGAGCGCGGCTTGCGCAGCGCCTTGACCCGCTCCTCCATCGACATGCCCTCGACGCCACGGTTCATGTGCAGCTCGTCCGACAGCCTCGGGTTCGCGCCCTGGTGGTGCAGAGGCTGCGAAGGAAACTGGATCCCGCCCGAAGAGCTCGGCACAGCCCCGCCAATAGGTCCGGGGCCAGCTGGGCTAGGCAAGCCCGCGCTGGCCGTGCCCATGGCCGGAGCCGGGAGTCCAATCAGGCTCGGCGTCGCACTGCTCGTGGCGCTCGGTGCAAAGCCGCGCGTAGGCATGCCCCACACGTCGCTGCCGAATCCGCGTCCGTTGCCGTACGGCGAGGCGTACAGAGACGACGGGATCATGGGCGAGTTGGCCGCCGTAGCGCTGCTTACGCCGTTGGTCGTCGGGAAGCCGGGCCCGCCGTGCAGATGCTGGGCGGGCGAGTCAAAGAGCGCCTTGATGTCCGGCGTCGACGCTGCAGCGCGCAGTCGGCGTTCGTTGACGCGAGCCTGCTCCGCAGCGGCGGCGGCGGCGGCGGCGGCAGCGGCTGAATTCTGGAATGACTCGTTCGACTCGGCCGCGGCCGCAGTCGAGATGAGCTTGTTCGCAAAGTGCGGGAAGGCGGATGCAAACGAGTCCGAGCGCGTCCTCGAGGGCGCAGCGTAGATGTTGGCATTGTGGTTGATGAGGAAGTCCTCGATGGCATCCTTGGCCGTGGGCAGGAAGTCGGTGTTGCTTCTGTTGAGCCTCAGCTTGAACACCGCCTCGCCACCCGGCCTTCGCTGCTCGATCACAGGCGACACGGCGATGCTGAGGTCGCGCTTGAGCTGCTCGGTGAGCGTGGCAAACTCGGGCAGCTGGATGGCTTGCGCCAGCTCGGGCGAGTTGGGCGCGCGGAACTCGGCCTCGAAGGGAACATGGTCGAGCAGCATCTGCGCCGCAATGTGGATCTGCGACTCGGGACCAAAGATGGTGAGCAAGTCCGAAGCCGACTCGCGCGCCGGGAAGCGGACGCTCGAGCTCGTCTTGCTTTCGATGTCGTGGATGAAGATGGCCTTCTCGCCCAACAGCGTGCGATGGTAGCGACGCGAGATGGTGACCGTCTCGCTGATGTAGTCCTTGTCCTTGGGGCTGACGAGCTCCATCACCGAGAGCTTGAGGTTCTCGAGGTTGGCGGCGTTCTTGGCTGGAGTACGCGCGATCACGTTGTCCTCATTGTCCAGATAGCCGCCAAGCGCCGCAAACTCCTCGGCGTTGCTGAACTTGACGTAGACGCCAAACTTCTTCATGATGCGCTGGATGTTCTTGCCGCCGACGCCGATGATGCGCTTGTGATAGGCCTCGGGCACGTGGAACGAGATCTCGGCAGGCAGCTCCTCTTGCAGCAGTCCGAGACCCTGCAAGACTCCGTTGCGGTCATTGCCCGACACGTCGATGAGGAAGTTGTAGTCGTTAAGGGTCTCAAACTTGATGCGAACGCCGCACTGCTTCATGACCTTGTTGACCTTGCCGTTCTTCTTGCCCGAGATGAATTCGCGATGCTCGTTGGCCAGCTCGATCTGGAAGCGCACTTCAAAGTTGAAGCTCTTGATGAGGTCGAGATCGAGCAGCGCCGAGACGGCGGTGCGCACCTCGGATTCGAGGCCGTGGATCTCAAAGCAGTTGCTCTTGAAGACGACCTCGGCGCCGGAGGCGCTGCTGACGTGCTTGAGCACGGGCGCTACCTGCGTCGGGTTGAGGTTGGCCTGCGATGGCATGTAGACGTCAAAGCCGACGGGCAGAAGCCAGAGGGAAGCGACGTAGAACTGACAGGCGAGCTGCATGATGGAGCGAATGGTGCGCTCGATGTTGACGCGATGGTCGCCGAATACCGAGATGACGCTGGTCTGGCTGCCGAGCAGAGGGAAGGCGACGTAGGTGCCGTTGTCCATCATGATGGAACGGAGCTCCTCGAGTCGCTCGGTGAGCATCCAGTCGAGCTTGCGCGGGAGAATGGCGGCGTCGCGCGAGATGATGCCCTTGCTCTTGTGCATGGATACCTGGAAGAGCATGTCGCGGGCCCTCTGAACGCCGAAGAACTCGCCGGTGATGTGGATCTGGTTCTGCTGAGCGGCTAGCCCAGGAGCTCGACCGGCGGCGCTGGAGCCAAAGGTGCCGAGGAAGGAGCTGGGCAGGTAGATGTTGGTGCCGGTCTCCTCCTCGATCTTCTGGACGACGCAGCGCTTGCGTCCGCCGATGATGTTGTGCAGCTTGTAGTCGATCTCGCAGATTTCGGAGCGCAGACCGGTGATCTCGTCAAAGATGACGAGAGCCTTGACACGGGCGAGCTCGACGCTCTCAAAGGGACCCGAGACGAGGACTTCGATCATGCGCTCGGTCTCGAGACCGTAGCCGAGGTCGGCGCCGCGCACGTCGTTGCTCTTGACGGTGAGGGTGGCGCCGGTGGCGGTCTGAACCTCGTCGAGCTTGCGGCGGATGTCTGCCTTGACGCTCTCCTTGCCCGGTGGAGAGGAGCCCGGGGCGATGTCAAAGACGTCTGCGCGGGGCACCTTGATGGACGCAGTGAGCTTGAAGGGGTTCTCGCGGAGGATGGCGCCTCGTGCGTTCATGACGTGCTGGAAGCCGCCGCTGAGGTGGAAGTTGTACTGGGGCGGCTTGGAGACACCGCTGAGACTGGCACGGGAAGCGGCCATGGCGGCGGACTGGGGCGAGCGGAGCGATTGGGCGGAAGAGAGGCCGACCTCCTGAGCAATGTGGCTGCCGGTGGCCGACTGCGGGTTGAGCGACGAGAGCGAGAGGGAGCTCGAGTTGAGGCCGGGGAAGCCGGCGCCCAGGGCCTCGCCTGTTGAGCGGCCTGTGAAGAAGGCGGAGGAGTGGGAATCGGGCGTACCGATGGGCTGCGGGTGGTACTGTTGGTAAGGGTAGCCCGAGGAGCTGGCAGCGTTGGGGTTGGGGAACGGAAGTTGGTCGAGGCTCTGGAGCGAGGAGAAGGAGCTCTGTCGCTGGAAAGGGTGGGTGAGTGGCGTGGAAGGCAGGCGCGACTCGTCGGGCTGGGGCACGGGAGCAAAGGAGACCAGGCACTGATGGTTTGCCATGACGTCGGAGCTGAGCTTCTGGATGGCCTCCTGGAGATCCTTGGAGCTCTGGGAGTGTGCCATGGAGCGGTCGTGCTGGTTGGCGGAGATGGAGTTGGAGGCGGAGTGGGTGGTGCTGGAAGGGTTGCCACCGACGGCGCTGCTGGGTGCGGTGCTGTCTGCGACGAAGGAGGCGTTGGAGGAGAGGTCGAAGCTGGAGCGCGTGCCGACGGTGGAGCGGCTGTCTCGATGCTGGCTAGCAGCGACGTCGTCGGGGCTAGCGATGCCCTGGTGGGCGAGCTTGAATGGACGTGCGTTGCCACGCTCGCCGATGGGGGCGAGCGGCGCGGATGTCTCGACGTCTTTTGCGGCGGTGGTCGATGAACTCTTGTTGGCGGCGGCGGCGGCGTCGGCGGCAGAGGCGTCTGCTTCAGCCTTCTCTGCGCCGACGGCCTCGACGATACGTTCGCTGGTGCGTTTACCGCCAAAGGCGCTTGGCATGAAAGCCTTTACACTCGGTGGAAAACGGGAACGCATCGAGGTGAATCGGCCTGGAAGCGAAGAGGCGGGCGCCTCCTGGGCAGGGGAAGCTGCCGGCCCGGCTCGCGAGCCTAGGTTTGTAGCGTTTCTGAGCACATCGTTGCCAAAGCCGGGCGCTGAGTTGGATGGTCCCGGAGCACTGGCGGCTGGATCCGAGACGAAGCTGCTAGCACCGACGGAGCGCGGGATGGTGAAAGAGGTCGAGTAGAGATCCATGTCTGGAGAAAGCGGGGGTATACGGATGCCTGGACCGCAGCGGGGGTGCGGTGCCAGAGCTCCGGGCTAGCAAGAGAGAGCCAAAGGAGGGCGTTGAGGTGATGGAGCGAGGGGGTGAGCGTTGTTGGTCTTGCGCTGTGGGCGGTGCCAAGGTGGGCGAGCTCGAATCGAAGCGGCGGGCGGAGGGGTATATCCGGTGAGGCTGAGCGGCTCGAGGTATATTGGAAGCGGAAGGGGGAATACGCGTGTGGTCGACAAGAAGTCAGCAAGCCTCGTTGGAGTGACGGAAAGGGATGCTGGTGGCGAGAAGAACGAGGAAGGCGGGCGGCAAGGGTCGAGGGTCGAGGGTCGAGGGTCGAGGGTCGGAGAGTCGAATGCAGAGGGAGCCAAAGGGGCAGAGGTATCGATGAATGCGTGGGGAGCTGCAAGCCAAAGCCAAAGCACGGGGGCGAGGACGAGAGGGAGAGAAGGCGGGGACGGAAGGAGCTGGGCGTGAACGACAGGGTATGCACAGAGTATATGTCGATGGTGTCCGGCTCTCGAGATGCAAGCGATACAGGCCGAGGGAGGGATTGAGCGTGCTTGAGCGAGCTTGGGTTGGATGGTCAAGGTGAGGGGAGGTGACGAAGAAGTGCACTCGATGATGCTACGAGGAGAGGAGAGGCGTCAGTCAATGCAGGATTGGCCGTAGCAGCGAGGCGAGGGGGGCCGTGTCTCTGGCTCTTAGAAAGGAAGACCCAGCGAGCAGCGGCAGCAGCTACAAGGTGATCGGAGGGTGAAAAAGAGCCTTCACCAGCCACTGTCCGAGAAAAAAAAATGAAAATGAAAATGACTCAAAGAAAAGGGCAGAGTCGCGCAGTTCGAGTCCCCACCCAGCGGCAGCAGAGAGGCAGCGGGCAGCGGCAGGAGCAGGCCGCGCCTTCGAGCCTCTTCCCCTTTTTGGCGGTGCCCCCCCTGCATTGCCTCATTGGCCGCTACCGATTCTTCAAAATGCGCTGCTGGGCGGGCAGGAAAAAAAAAAAA